CTGAAATGCTGAGGCACTCATATTCCTTGTAGCTCAAAAGAATATTGCAGAACTACAGCTAGTTCAGTAAACAAAAAGTAATGAAAACAACAAAAGAAATTGAAAAACAGAACCTTTAAAAGGACGAACAAGGAAGATAATAAATACATATATACCATCTCACTCTGTTTTATAACATGTAATACAACAGACCTTCCATAAAATTAAAGAGTGTTAAATTTAAAATAAAATCAGCGAGCACTTATTAAATTGTGGAAGTCCTTGCTTCATGATGCCACAGAAGCCAAGAAATTAATGAGGTTTTAAAAGGGCCCGGGTAATTGTATGTTTAACAAGATTATCTAGAGTAGCTATAATTATAAACAACTTTTTTTTTTGGAAGGGATTTGAAACCACATGTTTTAGGATCGAAGTCACTAGGAGACATCAAGATAAACTATAATGTTGGAGATAGGAGGAAAAGAATACTAGTCTAAATAGGCAATTTCTAGGCTATAAAGTTCTTGGACAAGGCATAGGACGTGTGCAGTTCTCAGAGGGTCTGTTCTGTCCTGTGTGTATTGCAGTTACACTTGGAAACCTGGATCAAATGAGAGCTCTCAAGGTACTACATGCCAAATATAGGCATAGGACAAGTAGCCTTGATACTGTTTAGAAAGACAAAGCTAGGAAACAGAGCATTTTTACTGCTTCTGTGCGTCAAGGGACTCAGAAGCTGAGAGACAGATGAAGTAATAGACCTGAGAACACAAAACAAGTTTGTGGCCGAAGTGAGAATCATGCTGGTCCTCCTGATTCTCGTCCCGTAATTTGACTCCAGGCCAAGCACTTCTCACATTCTTCTCAAACTTTATTTTTAAAAAATTTCCTCTTTTTCTTTTTTTGTTTTTTTTTTTGTCTCCCTGCCTTTTTTTCCCTTTTTGGGATCTCAAACAAATCTCTGCCTTCTGCAGAAAAGAGGAGGGATGAAGGCTCTGTGATCTGTGATCAAGCTTGCCTCAGATTATGGGACAAAGTACAGACTCAGTGGTCCCATTTGCTTTCTAGAAGATTGTGGATGAGAAACATGCTTGAATGGGCAAAGCTGCAAGTGCCATGGGAGAAAGTTGCATTGAAGACTACAACGGTGTTTTTTTCAATTAAGATCAATACCTCTTCTAAAGTTGAAGTTGTGCAGTTGCAGAAGGATTTTCCTCCCTGCCACTGTCACTTAAAACATTATGCAATTCATCCACAGTCTCCAGAAAAAGCTACTTCCTTTCTAATACCTATCAGACTGTATATACTGTATCTGCATTTTGGCACATAAACCACCATCTGCATCAAATCAAATATGTCGTACTTTCAGCTGCAGCTGGGAGTTAACTGTTCTTTCTTATTTCTTCCACCTTCTACACCTTGAGACTGGCATTGTGCTTTTCAGCGTTTGCAATCTGGGCCTGTCTCCAGCTGAATTCACCTGCTTTAAATTTTCTAAGCCCTAATAAAAAAGGCCTGCAGACACGTTTGCTCCAAGTGTGCAACCATTTAGGGGTGGTAATGAGTTGGACTGCAGCCTGGTATCTGGCAGACCTTCCTACTTCATGACTCACTGTTAATTAAAACCACACTCTTTGCTTATTCCTGGGATAGCGTTACTCACAAATAATTGAGAGACTCACTGCCTTATAGCCTCCTCACCCAGATCTGTTCTGTAGAATACACTTTTCTGATGGAGATCTGTTTCCCTTAAAGTTGCATGCAGCATAATGAAGAAAGACATCCATTTTTCAATGAATCCTTGTTGTCCTTAATTTGGATTCTGATACTTTTTCCTGTTTTGAATTGCATCTCAATCCACGAGCAATCTGATCCATTAGACTCTATGGCTCGTCTCTGGAGGCTACTGCCATGCCGAAATACTGCACACAACTGAATATCACAAACTTTTCAACTTCAGGCATTTTTGCAGCATGTCCATATATCAACTTAAGTCTGATGGGTTCACACAGACCTTTGAAAAGGTTGATTTTAGCAGTATTAAATCAATTATTTAACAGGCCTTCCTATACAGAAATTTTGGAAGGAGCAGGTAGATTAACCTTTCTTTTTTAATTAAGCCTATTTCAATAATATTTCACTCTCCCCCAAAGCAAAAGGGTCTGAGAATCATTTAATGTAAACAGTTTAATGCAAAAAAGTAAAGCTGCAAAATACTCTGCTTTTGCCAGGAAGTCACAGTGCTGATTTCTTGATTTATAGAACCACCTGTGGCTAGGCATCTAGGAACCTGAAAAGTTACCTCTCTTACGGCTCTTCTAAGCCTGTTCAACTCAGCTGATGAATTCTTAACAAAATCTCATACCACAGATCTCTGATGGCTGGTAGCAGGGACTCTTGGCAATAGTTCTTCAACTCCAGAATTGGCTACAGGGCTGGTCTAACAAACCCAGGACTCTTTCTCTTGGAGGCACAGTACCAAGCTCAACATTTTTCCTAAAGCATTTGTCTGTAGGACAGTTGTTGCTGCAGCTCAATTTGGGTTTTCTAATTGAGTGGAGTTATAGCATCAGTAATGAGCTGCACCAACGCACTGCCACAGGCATCAGTCACCTAATGCAGAATTCAAAGAACTGGTCACTTACTAAGTCTTCCCTTTTCCAGTGTACTCTACCAAGGAAGAACTGAAAATCATGTGAAACCTATACAGTTTGGGATCATTTTAGATCATGCCAATATTCTTTCAAATTCAAACACTCAGCTGCATGCTCTGCATATGCATTAGGTTCCTTACAGTCAGTCCTGCCAAATATATATTCCTAGCAGATTCAGCTGCTTCTGTCCCCCCCCAACTAGCAGAAATTATTTCAGGATGTTATGAGCAGACACCTAGAAAGAGAAAACTGGAATTTGGAAAAACATGTTTAATAGGTATTTAATTTTCCACTCCCCAATTCATTCAATCTTTAAAAAACAAGCACATTACTCTGACGCAGGCTCATCATTTCAGCTGTGAAGATTAGAATTTCTTAAAGCATTTGGGATCACCTCACATAACAGAAACTATTATCCCTTTTTAAAATAAAAATGCCTGTGATAGAGCTTTAGGTGTCACTAAATCTAAACACACCTGCTGTGTTCATGAAATATTCTGTAATACATATAGTTTACAAAACATATATAACATTAACTGGGTTTTGATGTGAAGAAGTAAAATATATATTTACATATATTTCTATTTTCCCAGTATAAAAATTTCTTTGCAGTCAGAGTTTTCTGCTCCTCCACACTCTTCCTTTGTGAAATAGTCTGGGTTTTTTAGTTGCATTGGTGGATTGCCTTGAGATAGTCAGTCTAGGACCAGCCCAATATAAAGCTACACTCTGTGCCATGTAATTAGTGTTTGTTAGTTCAGTTTTCCCCTTGCATTGACTTGTGAATCCTGCCTGGAAGCCAGCACCCATCCTCTCCAGGAGACTGAGCTCCCTTAGACCCAGACTCCAGGATCAGGCTCACCTTCGATGCAAAGAAAAAGTGAATATCTAAACATAATCATCATATAGGTTCAGAGGAATCTAAGCAGGCTCTTCTATTTTTCTTCTGAATTTCTGACATTAGATTACTCCTGTTTTATGCAAGTGCATGCTTTCTTTCTGGGAGATCAAGGGCTTCAGAGAAGTCTGTTACAGTTCACTTTGGTAAAATGAAACTCTTTAAAGAGGAGGGTTGAACACAAACCATGCTAATAAGCCACACTTCTTAATACTTCAGACATCTCCCCTTCTGGGTACAGCCCAAGGTTCTAGCCTGCTGCTAAATCCATTTTGCACAGCTCCACTGATAAAGCAGATTTAAAGCTGATAAAACCAGGTTCCAGCAGACACAGCAAAACCTTTCATGTGCTCATCAGACCAAACCCTACATACCCTCCAATGTGTAGTTAAAAAGCTGCAACCTTCAGGCAATCCCCAGCTGCCAGGAGAGTCCGTAAGAATTCCAACTGCAACCGAGTATAAAGCACAGTTCTGATACTGATCTCTCATGTGCTAGAAACCTGACCAGCTTCTGGCACTGCCACAATCCAGACAACATGCCAACATGCAGAGAGTCCTCTTTTTACTTTATATAGTGGCACCAAAATGGGCAACTGATCCCCCTAAATATTTCATCCACTTCAAAGTGCAATTTCTATTTGAAATGAGCAAGTTGCAACTGTCTCCCCTAAAAAGAGAGTCTTGAGAATAAAGAAAAAAACATTCTACCCATACATAAAAGAAGACAGAAAATGAGACCCAAGGCATGCTAGACAGTCTGATAAAAAACATGTTAAGATTAGTAGTAGGAATTTGTCTTCATCCTGGGCTAAATTCCCACTGTGGCTTTTTATATTATAAAATTGTTTTTCTGTGGATTTTTCTGCATTTAGTATCTCTGCTACTCTTCCTCCCACTAGTAAAACATACAGTAAACACATTAACACTTTCAGCTAAGTCGTTCTCCAAAATCATCCTGAAGCTCACTCAGTATGACCACAGTTTTAGACAACTCCTTCCATGAACTTAATACAGTCTCGCTTCCCTTCTCTTAAGAGTAAACGAACTTAATACACTCTCTCTTCCCTTCTCTTAAGAGCAATTTGAGATAATCACTCAGATGCTGCTGTTATTCTTGGGTAACAAATTTGGATATAGGGATAAGCACTGTATGTATAGTACTGTATGTAGCAAAACAACCTTGTCAGACTTAACCAGCAGCTCTGGTGGAGATCAACTTGTGATCAACTGTCATGATCATTTCTTAACTCAAAATTATTTGGAAAATCCACTTTTCATGTTCTGCTTTTTCTCAAGATAATAACTTTAGCTTTTCCATTTTAAAACCAATTGTTCAGTTTCCTGAAAGTAAGTTCACTTCTTTACCTACCCAGTCCTCATGAAAGCATTTCAGAACACATCTCAGACAGGAATGTCAAAGCTCACTATTAGCAAAAAGCCATACAGATAGAAATTTGTATTTGATACCATTTCCTCATTTTCAAATTGCATGTTGCATTGTGCTGCGTCCTCGGTTACTGGCTTCTGAAACATGTTGCGGCAGATGAGCCATACTGTCAGACTAGCAATGAACATCCCAATATCTGGTACAAATAGTCTGATCACGTTCCCAGCATCTGCTCCTTTCACACTGTATGGAATGAAAAAAAAAAAAAACAACAAAAAGAATCAAAGAAACATTTGTTATTTCTAATGACATTTTCAACTGGAACAGAGAGCTAGCTCAAGGCAAAGAGAAAGAAACCCAAACCCCCAGTAATAAGAAAGTTTTGCAGTACAGGAAATACAATATGACCAAGGAACTCTAGACAGACAGATACTTTTGCTTTCCAGAAGTACTGAACAAGTGATTATTCAGTGGGAGCTCACATACTTGTATATTAGTGATACTTAGCATTTTAATTAACCCAATTCTGAATCAGTTTTGTGGAGAGCAATGCAGAAAAAACATTTAAATTCATCAAGAAAGATTTCAGCTGAGTACTTAGAAGATCCATGCATATGAAGCACAGTCTCTTTACCAGAATCCCTTGCAAAGGCAACAGCATCCAGGTCCACCAAGAACAAGGATGTTTACTATGATAAGATAGCATTCATGTCTCTCCTAAACATGCTCTAATCCTAATTCCTGGCACACAGAGGAATAACCAGAAAGCGTTATATATTTTATTTTGTTAACTGTTAATACATTTTATTTGACCAGACTACCTTAATACCTTTTGGGGTATTTAAATGCAAATATTTAAATGCTAATTAATGTGTTTGATCTCTGCCAAGAAAATCTTTCTTCTCCTCTGAAAGATTTGTAAGGAATGATTTATGTAGGAAAAGAATTGCACTGCTTCATTGTGCAGATTTAATCGTTTATACTATGAAATATGACTTTATGGATTTGGATGTGGTGTCTAAACTTGGTTCGTTGTTAAAATGGAGAGCCCAGTTCAGGTTTAGTGGCACAATAACAGTTTATTAAGCTGCTGCATTGACATACTGAACTTTAACTATTAGTAAGAGGATGTGATCTTAACTATTGGAAAATTAAAAGTTAGCACATTTTAAATATGCAGCTCCAATTTTAATTAATTTATTTTTTTAATAGGGCTTTATGTCTGTAATCAGTTCTGAGGACAGGAGAGGCATCTGTATAACTCCTTGGGCATAGGTGAGTGCTCTAGACTAGCTCTTCATAGCCTGAACTGGTAAAAAACAGGTTGTTTGATCGATGCAAAAGAAGAGATCAGCTCTGATCTTTCTTCATTGTAACACTAGCAGCTTTGAAGCCTGAAAAACAGTATCTGTAAAGGAGTTACCTGCAACTGCTGCAATTAACGGTACACATAGAGCATCAAAACAGTCTCTAATGTGATTACAATACAACCACTGTAAGGAACCTTGTTGATCTGCTCATATGTCCAAGATCAAATCCAACATTTTCATTACTGCTGCTGTGTATCTTGCAAAATAGCTTATGTTCAAAGTAGGAATAAGGTAACTGATCAGAAATCTGGCTTTAATGTTTGTTTCAACTGCTTAACTCCAAATGGTCATGTTCTATGTGGCAGCTAAGTAGCTTGAAAATATTTTGCTGATGGCTTTCAGCTCTACTGAAGCAGAGGAAAAAAGTTAAGTAATTGAAAGGCTTGTAAAAGAGTTAGATGGCAAAGTTTTTGCTGGCTTTCTTGCATGTTTCTTATGCCACTGCTACATGCTGTAGAGTCAACTGGCCTATGACAGCATAGCTGACCTGGTTGAGATTACAGGAAATACAGGCTTGACATGAGTCCCCATTCATTCTGCAGTACCATGGCTCTTACTGTTACTGAAGATTAGCTAGCCAGGGCTGCACTCTCTCCTTTGGCAGAAAACAGTAAAAAGTACATGCTTAACGAACCTAATTCCCAAAAATAGTGTGCACAGGTTTCACAATACCATTAATGAACTAGTTTCAATCATCCTGATCACTATGCTGAAACCTGCCTATCAAAGTGGTTTTACTAAATATCTGGCACAAAATCTGAATTCTTGATTCTGAAGTTCTACACATGCATTTTTTAGAAAGAACTGAAATACACCCTGAATCTAGTATTAATTAATATAAGAACAGTATAAATTTTCTAGTCTCATAATGTATCAGATTACTTCTATGTAATACTTCTGTAAGTGATTTTTTTCTGTACACAGATCTGGAGTTGCATCGAAAATTAATTCTGCATTACTTCAGAGGTCCTCCAGATTCAACCACTCACGTTCAAACAAATTAAAAGCTGGTAGCTTTCAAGTACCAGTGCTTCTTAGTTGCACCAGGCTCTCCTCCCTCACACTGTACTCCCATGGAGCCACTCTGGGTCTTCTTTCCTGTATCCTGCTCCCCAGAAAAAGGAGAGTCCCCTGTGGGAGCCCTGCCTCTAGTGCAGCTCACATCTCTTTCCAAACCAAGTGTTTCTAATCTTTCAAAAGAAATCATTTAGCACGTTGTGAAAGATGTAATGTACAGTTCAGACTAGCAATAGAGAGCCTGAACAGTGATACTTAACCACAGAGCAGGCAAAAATTCTGCACATGAATAGTTTGTTCACCAAAAACAGTCACAAATGTATGCTGTCCCCATTTCCCCATGAAAACAAATTGACCTCAGTGTGATAATTAAAAAGGAAACAAAAGGAAATAGAGACATGTATATTCTTCTGTAAAGCAGAATAATAAACTGCTTCATTCAACCCCAAGCAATTTTCTCCCTAGATTCTCACAGCAAAAGCTAAAACAAAAACCAGTTATTCCCACTTGTTATCTCTGGCAGTACAAAAAAAGAATAGTAAATACTGCAATCATTCCGTAAACATTTCTCACTTTATTTGCGCATTCACACATGGTCATATTTTGCAGTTGATAACAGTCTATGCATTGTGCTCTTTGCTCCAAAAGAGGCTTTTGAACTCTGAAGTTAAAACAGAAGAACAGGAAACCTATTCAGGAGATCTCCTAGATCTTCTTTTCAATCCCCTGCAAGAATCATAGTGTACAATGAATTGGTCATAGCCCTTCATCAACAACTGGTAAAGCATAGTTTTTTCACCTACACTAAATCATTTACCTACAGGGCAGCTTTAATTGTAATAGACATCACTGACTGAAGCTTATAACTTAGCCAGAAACATACTCTGAAATGTAATTACAGTAAATGGCATCTTTAGAATGATTTTCCACATTTTGCCTTCTTTCTTACAGGATGCAGAAGAAAACAGGGCACCTCGCTTCCCCACTCCAAAAAAAAAAAAAGTATAGTGGTTTGAAGTGGTTTTCTTTCACCTTCCCTTGACCAAGCAAATCTAATTGCACACCATTTTTTTAATACAAGGGACAACTACAGTTAGGGTATGTAACAAAAGTACATTTTGGGGGACAAAAGGAATTTTATGAGTTTTGCATCAATATGTGATATTGTTTTATCATATCAACAGACTCCTAATACAGAAGTTTACAATCTGTGTTCCCCTACTGTTTTCAGCTGTACACATTAAATTTAGTACTTTAGAAAGTGATCATCCTAATTTTCTGTGTTTATAGAGAATTTTTCTAGAACAGCACAACCCTGGTCCATTCCTGAAGTTCATTGGTGCTAAAGAAACTAAGCAAAATTTCCCACTTTATCTGCATTGAGAATAGTTAGCTGTGGACATACAGGTTAAAACTGTTCTCTTACTTCATGTACACTCCCTAGCAGTCAAACAAAAAACCCAAATACCAGCATAATTTAAACATTACATTATTTCTTGGTGCTCTAGAAATATGCATTTGAGTTTCCTCAAAATAAAAATTTCATTTTTTTGCCTTTCTAGAATAACCATTTCTCACAAGTTAGAATTATTCATCTCCTACTGAATGCACAAAGCTTTGGTGAAAAGTGAAGTGTTAATACTGCCATACCTGGCCTGATTTCATTTCTTTAGAATGGCAGACACGTTAACCTCCTCTTTATTTCAGGTTTAAGAATAAAACCAGAAAAGCAGCAGAGCTATTAGAATCCAAACTGCAATGGCTTCAAATACAAAAAAAGAGTAAAATATATAGCAATGTATATGTAAAACATCAAGCACAATATATAAAATACTCCACATATAGAATGAAAAACATCGATCTTCAAACTCGAAATATTTATATCTTTTTTTACAAATAAACAAAAAATGGGAAAAAACAACTAGTCTTTCTTAAACAGAACTCTAATTCAGCATCAGCAATATGCCACAAAGTTAAGCTTATGTTAGACAATAAATCAAAAAATGCTTCCAGATTAAAGAACTGTAAGAAGCTTGATTTTATATCGAATACCAGCTAAACAAAGTATTTTAAAGGTTATTTTTCTTAGTTTTAAAAACTTATCAAAAGTCTTATTCACTTTTCATACATGCATACATCTTTTTTCTCCTTTCAGGGGTTTTATAGAGTGTCTGCTTACTTTCTAATTGATCTAATATAACAAAAAAAGTTTACACTGTATTAACAGTTTATAGGTGATAAACTAAGGAAAAGATGCATAGACACTAATAGTTTCTATTCATCTTGTTTGGTCATTGCAAAACATCTGATATTTCTAATTGGACCTAATATTTCAGAGTAATTTATGCACTACTGTAGGCTTCATCTGCAACTGTAATCACTTGGACTGGAGGCAAAACAGACCCAAGAATCATAAGACAGGACCCCTGGAAACACGCTACAGGCAGTATTACACAGGTGCTACACAGCACTGCAAAAAATTTATTTTTTTATCATTAGTAGCCTCTCTGTGATCCAAAACCAGTGGAAACTTTGAGGGTACCAAAGGCTACTAACCAGATGCCCTTAGAGATGTGCTTGCTGATCCTTGCTCTTGGAAGTGGGTCTTGGGGATGGTTGCAGCTGGAAACAAATTAAAGAGGCTCCTTGTCTTCTCTCAGTTTGAACTAAGAATGAAATGTCTGCCTCTGTACATACTCTGCTGGGAAACTGACACTTATCTGGGTCTGTAGATTGCAGACCTGGTCTGAGCCACAACCAGCACTTCACTAACACAGGACACTCAGAGTCTATATTCATGCTGCCAAGACTTGTCCCTGCTGGTTCAAAAGACAAGTTAGCTATGATGTTGGCTCA